GGCATTTTACAGGATGCTGAGTTAGCAAAAATATTAAATAAATAAATAAAATAATTATTTATTATCCATCACAATACAATGTTATAAAATGTATATCTATCCCCATATAGATTCACGCTGTATAATTTTATGTTTTTTATATCCAAAATTTATATTTTATGATTCTTACTTTGAATTTTATCGGGAAACATTAAAATATGAAACAGGCTAAACCAAACTATAAATAATTCTTCTTTTTTTAGATAGTATGTCAGAGATTCACATTTATTTTCTCCCTCTTCCCCTTCTTTTTCCCTCTCACTACCTTACACCTTTCATTACATATTTAACATTTTAAAAACTTCTATAAATATACAAGGTTAATCTTGGGCACCATTTAAATAATAAATAAAATTTATAAATTTAGAAATATATATATATATAAAGAATAAGAATGAAAATTGAAAATCGCCATAAATCAATTTTTTATGCCTCCCCCTTCTTCTTCTATTTTTGTAGAAGATCTACAATGACCTAAATGTGAAATAGCATTAATAATGAGTATTGCGTGAGAGGTCATAAACTTATAACGGCGAGAATTTTCTCCCCCCTAAAAAAGGGTAATATTTTAGTGAGTTTTAACAATTAACTATGAAGAAAATTATATAGTAAAGTTACCTTAAAGACGTCATATTTTATGCTACTTTCACTAATAAAAATTGGAAAAACTTTTTTTTACGTAATATATTATCCTCTCGATTTAACACACCCCGATTTAACGGACAAAAAATTTAAAATATTTGTTTTATTATTATTTTATTCGCGACCGTGCTAAAAGGTTGGATCGATGAGTCAGTCCGTATAAATTACAATATTATTTTAACCATATTTTTAAGTTCGCCATTAATGTATGTTTCTAAAACAGACTCGATTTAACGGGTCTTCTTCGATAGCGTTCACCCCTTTCTCCAAATTACTTGTTAAATAGACTTGTAATTCCCGATCTACTATAATGTCTGATTGAGCGTTTTACATCACGTAAAGGGATGGCGATTCATTATATATACCTTTTTTTTCTGTTAAAATTTCATTTAATTGTGATGAAATTGAGCTGTCAACTCTTTTGAATTTAACGTCTAGTTCTACTCATAGAACAAAATAATTTTGTCCAGTTTGTAATTAAATTTCCTCTCGTGTCAGACTTAAAACCTTTGTAGAAAATTATCAAGCCAAGCCATTTCGAAATCGTTTCATATAGCTTTAATACACGATAAAACATGTTTGTCTACAATAAATCGAAAGCAATATGACGTTATATAGTGTAGAGAAACTAAATAAAAATTCTCTCTCTCAACTAGTTGATCTATATTTCAACAGATCATAACTCTCCTCTTATTTGGTAATTTGTTCAATATTTACTGAACAAATTGTTCACATTTAATTAAGATTATTTATGGAAATATTATATGAGTAAATTAACTTTGACGTCCAGACAAGGCGACATCAAAGCTAAATCAAATTATTAAACAACCGATGCCAACACCAAACAAAATAATTGGAAATTTATTTAGCATCGGTAATGCAATTTACCTAATCACTTATATCTATAAAATATTCTTTATTATAAATATTTTCCATTTAAAAAATTGTATAACTTGCAAAACAATTAGAAATAACTTGCACTAATAATTTATTTTAGAAAAAAGACACGTGATTAAATAATCAATATTGTTCTCCTTCTGTACAACACACACACACACACACGCTGTGTTATGTATCTATGTATATACATTTTTCTATGATATCAATCGTAGAAACCATTATCTAACTAAACTTTTAGAACTATAGAAATCAAATATTTTAATATTCAACGATGTCATTAGCATTACTCGATACTTTTTTTTGTATTAGAATCAAACCATTTGTAGACTGAATCATCCATTAGTCTGCTCTCTTTACTTTGTTATCATTAAGGTATAGTTCCTCTTTCTCTCCTTTGTTTCATTGCTTTCCCTTACTAAATCTCTACGTTATTATCGAATTTTCTGTGTTTTTTTCTCTCCAAGAGCAAAATTTATTTTAAAAATAATTAAATTTATAAGCGTAAATATTCATTAATTACCGTTTAAGGCGTTAGAAAATATTGTATTGTATACTAATAATAAAAAAAGGAGGAAGAATTGGAGTTGGAGTATAGAAAAGGGAGGAGGAAGAGGAGGAGGAAGAAATCTTTCGGAATCAATAACTGTAGTTGATTCAAAAGACAAATGGTTATTTTAAGTGTATGGATATAAATGATTCTTAAGCATAGATCTTGAATGCATAGGTACAGAATCTTAAATCCATAGGTACAGATGGTCTCTACTTCACTTTTGGCAGATGTTAAAGCAATTGAAGACTTGCGCTAACTGGACAATCTGGCTCCAACTGGAGCAGTAGACATCGAGTGAGAAATGAGGAGAAGCGCGTAGTGGATGCTTGGCACCATCTCTCTCATTGCTTTACTCATCCATCTTTCTTCTTTCTAACGTCATCGATTTTGTAATTTGTAGAAGTTGGGGTTTATCCAGGTCTTTCTAATAGCCAATCTGCATCGATCTGATCAAACGAACGCACCTGGTACGGAATTTATGTTCTCTCTAGTCTCTATTGGATCGAAAGGATTTGGATGAATACTTTCTTGTTCACAGATTCTCTGAATATTTATATATTTTTATTATATATATGTATCGGCCACTTTATATATTAATAATGTAATCTTTTTTCTTTTTTTTCTTCTTTTTTTATACGGAATGATTTTGTTTTGGGTTAAAGATACTTGAATAAATGCATGGAAAACTTTTTTTCCTTTAAAAAGTAAACTTTAAACATTATAATTATTGCTGAGGATGCTGTGAATATCATTTATTTTGCATAAATAAATTTTATTTCTTAAATAAAATATTCAATTATTTACTTACATTTTTCTTTAAGTTATAAATAATATTTATACACGTTATTGTGTAGCCTATGTATTTTATCTTAATATATCAATATAATAAAATTAATTAAATTATCGATTTATACGTAAAATAAATCATATTATTTAAAACATAATATTAAAAAAGAGATTTTTATCGTTGACTTTTACACAGGATTGACCAAAATTAACCTTAGAACAAATAAATCTGTTAACCGACTTATGGGCCACCCTGAATATATATTAATACACCTTTAAATATAATTAATCTATTGTACGTATTATAAAAACAGTACACAAAATTATATTATTTTCTATGGAAATTTTCTATATATAGAATCGCAAAAGGTTATTAAACTTACTGACAAGTTCTACACTTCCACGCTTTTAAACTGTATCAAATTTTTAAATATGTCTACTATACCAGTTTAGCATTTACTTAGCTAATAAATTATAGTCATAAGCTCGAAAATAAGGTTAATTAAATTTGTTTAATCAGTGAATTTTTAATGGTGAAGCCATTTTATAATTATATTCATCACAGGAGAAATCATTTTAAAAGATCGAATTTCCAGATAAGGAAGATGATAAGATACGCTTTCTCTTTGCTTCTCATAAACTAAGCTTAATATAAAATAAACAATATAAGACATTATCATAATCATATGCAAGGAAAGCTTTTAGCCATTAACATCCATCGTCTCTTATTAAATAAGGAAGTAAACAGCATCAATCTCCCAGCATCCAAGAAAAATGCCTTTAAAGATGAGTAGAGATAAAGAATAAAGAGTAATTATTAAAAATAATAGCCCTTTAAAACAATCAAGATATTTAAAATTTTAAACTTTATTAAAGCTTTTTTTTCCCTACTTTCATAATAAAATGCTTAATAAAGATTTCGAATTTTAAATCATTTTTAAAAATATATTTTTTCATAAAAAATGATTTTTTTAGCTTAGGTTTTAAGGAGTTTTCTATGTAACGAGATATTTCTTTTATAGAAATTTGCTGGAAGATTTTAAAAAAAAAATGCCACAAACATCCAAATTTATTTTTAACGATGTTCGGATTCTGCATTTTTGTGCATTAGGTAAACGGATACATTTGTTTGTCTGTTATCTAAATTCGAAAATGTAATGAAATTTTGTTGCTAAATTTCGACCCTAGATGGCGCTTTACGGTGATGACAATTTTTAAAAAATTTGAAAAAAATTCAAAATTTTAACCTTACGTCAAATCCGTCTTCATGTGTAGATGATACGAACTCATAAAGTTTCAGTAAGATATAAGCTAATTGCTGTATACAAAAGCAAAATTTCATGCTTTAAAAATGTAAAAATGCAAAAAATCATTTAGTTTTTTTGTAAAATTTAATGATAAATATCATATTTATCTTAGTAATGACAGTAATTACGTATAAAATAACACGCAACTCTTGCTATTCCGGTTTAATAGCATCCGTAATGATGGAAAGAGTTGCATCATCTTTAGGGATGCTAAGAGATTGCATGCTATTTTATTATAATGTTATAAAAAAATTTATAAGTATGTTATATAAAATAAGTGTTTTTAATTACTTTACATGTATTTTACATTTTATTACGGAGAGAATCGTAAGAATTTACTATATTTTCATATCTAGAATCACGTTTAATAGCAATTTTCCTGTTTTGGGAGGATTTAAAATAGAGGTATTTTTGTACAGATATCAGGGAGATGTACAATAAAATGCAAAAAAAAAATCGTATTTATCTTACTATTAACTGCAGAAGTTCGGGGAGAAAGGGGGAGAGGAAAAAAAACCTATCTAACATAGTCTCAGGAGACTACAAAGAACTTATTCCCCTATCTGTCGTGCCATTAGCATCAGTAATAGCTGAACGGAGAGGGGGGCCAAAGAAGGGACTACAACTGTGTTATCTTTGATTCGGTAAAACTTTTATAAGCCTTATTACCAAAGTAGATCGAAGGATACATCACGGCACTCAATCCATCATTAACCTTAATTTTAATACTTAATTCGTTCTTTCAGAATTATAACCAGATGTATTTGTGATTATAGGAAACTTAGGAAAAGTGGACTACGTTTCGGAATTTGAATACGATCTTTACATCCGACCGGATTTAGCGAATCCCCGATATAGAGTATGGTTTAATTTCACCATAGAGAATGTCCGACTGGAACAGGTGAGAGATAATTATCGATTTTTTTAAACAAAGAAAAAAAAGGAATATAAACTTCATATAACGTATTTATTACATAATAAACTCGAAATTATTGTAAAAATATACCTTTAATTCTAGGAAATAAGTCATTTCTAGCGAAATTTAACGTTTCTTCGTAACACGTAAATTGTATTTTTCATGAAATTTTTGTATATATTTTTTAATCTTATTTTTTAAATTCATCTCTTATTTATTTAGGAAGAAAAATCTATTTAAAAAAATAATTGTAACCATATTTAAAAAATAAATTGTATAATAATATTCCTGTATAATAATAAACTTTTGATAAGTTAAAAGTGAATGAAATTGGAAAAAACTTACAAAATTTTCCATTTATTAAGTCAGAAACTTAAAAAAATAAATGATTTCCTTCAAAGATAATTATTTTAAGCAATAAACGTCACAGTGGCATAAGTAAAACCGATATTATGTGGTGGCTCGAATTAGAACGTGCAAACAAGTGGCGCATTGATCTATGGGCAAAAAGGGCAATTGCCTAGGGCCCCACCAAAAGTGGGCCTCAAACCAATTTTTTATAAACTCATTGCTGTACTAAGAATATCGAAATTTAAATTTGGACTATATCTGAAGACCCTAGATTGCAGGTATGGCACAGAAGTGAGTTGCGTTAAAAACTAACGAGGATACTGGGGGATTCTTCCCAAAATTTATCGAACACAAATGTTTGAAGTCAATACTGTACAGTACATGGGGCACCCATGAATCTATAACGCGCCACTGGCAAACTTTTATCTCTGTACCACTATGGATGAAACCACTAACTCTGTAGATGAAGAATAAAGTCTTAGATTTTGTATTAATATATAAACGTGTATAAGTATATAGTCACATTTAAAAGGGGACCGGGCCCCGGGGCCCTCCTGGTTACGTTACAGATTGATAATTATACTCAATTACTTAATCAACGATCAGATGGAGCGTGGCTTAAAACAAATTATAAATCGTTTTATAATATTTCTTAATCAATATTCTTGAATAATATTAAATTTTTAGTAAGTTAAAAGATTCTCCAAATAAATAAACTCGAGAAAAGTAACTCTAAACCTTAAACATTATATTTTTCTAAGGTATATAAAAATTTTTTATTCATGTTTATAAAGTTTGCAACGTTGTGATAAGTAAATTTTACTTGCAGTTTGTGCGATATTTATAGTAAAAAATTAATCTCCTAACTCTTCCTCTCTCTTTCCCTCTTCCCCCAAAAAAGGGGGAGGAAGAAATTCATAGCAAACGTAAATTTTAATATATGTAGATAGCTTCATATTCGTGTGTTAGCTAATTATAAACGCTTCTTCATACGAATACTGATATGTCATATGAATAATGATGACAAATTAGTATTTATTAATACTATAAATACTTATGAACGTATAAATGCTTTATGGAGTATGAGCTTTTTTTAGGTAAATATATACGAGATAAGATAATTTAACTCAATACTTCGAATGGTATTTATATATTTAAGAAAGTGTTGAATATTTTATTTTGTTTTAAATTTAATAATAATAGTAATTTTGTATATTTTTCCGCTGTTTAAAGTTTAATAATTGCTTTTTAATCATTAGAAATTATACACACGAGAGTAAATATAAAGGCAAATATGATGCGAATTTTTATTCTCTCGATATTTAGTTGAGGAATAATCAATTTTGTTCGATATTTTTGAAGAATTTTAGAATAAAATAAGCACTTTTTCTCCCTCTAATTCTTTATTTCTTGCTCCTTTTATCTATCTAATTCTTTGTTTTTCCTCTTTTTAGCTCTCTAATTTTCTTTTCTTTATTTTCTAAGAAGCTTAGTATGATTTGCTTTCTATTACCTGTTATAAAACATCCATAAAATTATTATATAATTTTACTAATTCGTTCAGAACGATAAGAATTCTTGTATAGTAGAATGTAATTATTTTACTGCATTCGATCGAATTTCTAGGTATTCATTAGTTTAAGCACGAAAAAAAAATAGAAAAAAAAGAAAAAAAAATATAGAAAAAATTTACTCGTATTAAAGGAATTAAATCTTGTAGGACTTGTATATATAAACCCTACTAGACGTAATTTTCTAATAGTGTATGCATGTCAGCATTCAATTAGTTTAAGTATAAAAAAAGTTTAAATAAAATGGTTGGATTCGTATGTGCTTATATACATATATATGAACCCTACTAAACGTAAGGTTTAGTAGTTTAGATATGTATTTAATTAGCTTAAGCATTAAAAAGTAGAGAAGAAATGCTTCCAGGGGTAAAGAAAATTAAATGTAGTAATGTTTGTATATATATATATATATATACACGAACTCTACTAAACAATTTTTTAATAGTTGATGCATAGGAGGGTTTAATTAGTTTAAGCATGTAAACAAAAGGGAAAAATGGTCTCGTGCCAAAGTAAATTAGGTGTAGTAGGGTTTGTGCATCTACGTACAAACCCTACTAGACAGCTTATGCATAGAAACGTTTAATTAGTTTAAGTATGTAAAAAAGAACACAAAAAAGTTCTCATGTCAAAGAAAATTAGGGATTTACGTACGTATGTATAAACCCTATTAGATATAGTTTTCAACTAGTTTAAGCATGCAAGTATTTAATTAGCTTAAGCACGTAAAAGAAGGAAAAGGAAAAAAGTACTTTCGTGTAAAAGAAATGAATCCTGGTAGGGTTTGTATTTACAGAGAGAGAGAGAGGTAATTATTACAAGTAAATTTTAACTACTATAAACCAGAAATAGTGAAAGTAGAGTTATTAGTATTAATTCTTTAGATACAGAAGGCTTTTTTGTAAAAAATGTACTGATGTATTTTTATGTAATAACATCGGTTAATGATTATCGAATGAATAAAGCAGGCTAAATGTCGTTTGTTTCGAGAGGAAATGAGAGGGGATGAAGAAATCGCGTGCAACTTTCATTTGGTCGATAAAAAAAAGTCTGTTCTGTTTTTTTAAAGAAATAGTCGACAATTGCTTTTGACGTTCTAGTTTCGTAGAATACTAAATTCTTAGAAGCGAACCTAACATTGTTGACATGTTATAACCTCTCCAATTCCACCAAAAAAAGAAAAAAAATTTCATTTTCCCCCATTCTCTCCTTTATATTTTCGTATATTGATCCACTTTAATGGAATTTTTATTTATGGATAAAAAGAATTCTTTTTTTAAAATTAAATACATCCACACCGCTACAAAGTATTAAAAGAAATTTAAAAAAATTCTTCAATTTTCTAAGTGAATTTTGATTGTGATGTAACATGGAAGATGCTGTTTTGGTATATTTTGTAAATGTAAAATTTTAAATTTTCTGTCCAGTGCTACCCCGGGGATGAGTTTAATCAAAAGGAAATCCATAATTAATTTGGAAAGAATTTTTATAAAAATGAATTGAAATTTCTCCTATCATTATCTGTTCCTCAAGGAGGCAATTATATTAATGTTTAAATGAATGCATCATATAGATAAGCCTTTGATAGATCTTTACTTTTATCTTTTTATGCAATCACTTCGTTTTACTGGAGATTTTACAGTTGCTCTTTGGTAATTATTTTATATAATTTCGTTATTTTTAATCAAATTTATCGTTTTATTTTATTAGAATTATAAAATTGAAGAATTAGTTTTGTTATGTGTAATATAGGCAGATATTAATTATAAATTTAATTTTTGCTTAGTTTTAAGCAAAGTTTATAAACTATCTCATCGTTTGCTTGATAATTAAGCTTATTTTCTGTATTTTTCTACTTTTAATCTATAAAATTTTACTGCTTTACACTCAATTTTTGGATTTTTAGCATGGAAATATATCAAATTTAGCAAAATTATATCAACATTTATAAGCTCTCTCGTTATTTGCTTGATAATTAAGCTTATTTAATGAATTTAATTTAATAAATTTGTAAAATTTTATTGATTTATATCCAATTTAAAACTGTATAAGCATTAATTAAAGCTAAGCATAAGCATTTAGACTACCCCTTTATTTTCTTACTAATTAAACCCATTTTTTGAATTTTTAAAATTTTAATTTATAATTATTTTAATAAAATTTTAAAAATTTTATTACTTTACATTCAATATTTAATTTTATAAGGGGGGAGTTTGTTTTCCTTTATCGATTTTCATATGTTGTCCGACTTTCCCCGTATAATGTAAATAACATCAAAATTTAAAAAAAAAAAAAATATTTTTTCGTAGTCAAAACCGCGTAATTTATGTAAAAATTAAAGTATTTTTAACGCCTTAAATTTGAAAATTTTGAAGTAAAAATATAAATAAATCAAGCAATAATCTCTCATGCATAATTAACGAGTGTGTTTTTTTTATTTGATTGATATCAGAGTTATTCAGATATGAAGTAGACATATCTATCATATATAATATTCATGTAAAGCTGGAATTTTCATATAGATGTTCATAAATACATAAATTATTAATGACGCCATTCAGTCAGTCAGAATCAACTCGAACGGTAAGAAATTCAATGTAACACAAGACATATTTGTGGGTAGATAATCGAAATTTCCTTATAAATCTACTCTTGTATACTTGTATGAAGGAATAAATATGGATGCTAGACGATAAATATTTACATCCCAAGCATGAAAAATATATAGAGATTAGTGTTTTAGAGTTATTATAAGGTTTGGGAGAATAATTTTACCGAATTTCTCTAGAGGAAGATGGAGTAAATCGTCAAACATTTATAACTCAAACTCTGATTATTGGTCCCTCATATTAATGGATTTTATAATAAATGTTGCCTCTACGACATCAGAAATGCCAATATTTTTGATAATTTTAACGTCGTTATTATTTTATGCTTAGTTATTACGTCTTTCTTTCGTGTGTTTCAACCTTTGATTATGATTCTGAGACGATGTTAGGGGGGTTTTCCTCTTCTTCCCCGTTCTAACGTTATTGCATGTTGTGTTTCTGCAGCATAATTCTG